GTTTTTTAATTCAATTATTAATTATAATTTATTTAGGTGTAATGACGAAATTAATTATTTTAGATTTTATAATGTAATAATTTTTACAAAGACAATACCTAAAAATTAGTTTTTAGAATTTTGTCTATAATATTATATATACATAGAAGTTCATGGCCATTGAATCAAACAATGCAAACCACAATGTTGATGTTAAATTGGTGTGAACTTGAGTTTCAAAGATCAAAGTATCTCGACGTCTTAGGTTCGAATCTAATGAGTAATAAAAATCACCTTGTGGAAATGGAGGTTCAAATGTGATGTCTCTGGTTTATTTGCGTTGGATATCCAAGTTAATAAAAAAAAAACAATGAACATGCTTTATTCATAAATCAATTTGATAAACCATGAAACTGTAAAAATCATTTTTATTTTATAAAGAATTTATATATATAATTCTGTGACTTTTTTTGTATTTTTAAAGACATAAATTGTTGCTATACATTGATTGGTTTTCGGTTTATATGTAGTTTTTTAGTAACACATAAATGGAAAAGTAGGAAACGAAAACATTGTAAACCAGATTTAGAGGTCAAATTTTGGTTTAAATTTCTAGAAAAAATACGCTCATGTTATACTTAAATTTATATTTATTAGTAAAAGAACCATATATATATATATAGAGAGAGAGAGAGAGAGAAAGAGAGAGAGACTCGAGATCATATGAGATCAAAAGTTTTTCATAAGACCCGTAAGACCAATTCTCAACCTTTGGATTAGATCTACAATCTGACAATTTAAACATTCATAAACGTCATGAGACTTCTCAAAAATCACAAAATTGTCACCGTGCAACTTTAGACTATTAGCTCATTAGCTTATAAAGTTGATCAATGAACATAAATTTGTCTTACGAGTCTCACGAAAAACTCTTAATCTCACGTGAACCCAATCATATATATATATATATATATATATATATATGTGTGTGTGTGTTTTTTATTTGATGTTTTTGTTTTTCCACAAAAAACTATTTACTCTCCCATTCCTTGTCACCCTTTTGTTTCCTTATATAAACCTAGCCACACATTCAGGAACCCAACCAAAAACACAAGAGACACACACATACTCTCTCTCTCTCTCTCTAACATACTCTCCTCTAGCTTTTCACAAACGCAAAAACACAGTTACAGGATCAGGTAGTGATGGTGATCATGAAACCTGAGAAATCCCTATCAACGACCATGAATGCAAGAATCATGGGTTCCGGAAAAGAAACTCTGGTTCTAGCTCATGGCTATGGCGGAGATCAGTCTGTTTGGGACAAGCTTTTGCCTCAACTCACTCAGACCTATCAAGTTCTTGTTTTCGACTGGAGCTTCTCCGGCGCCATTAAAGATCCAAACACTCTCTTTGATCCTCTCAAATATTCCACTTATGATGCTTTTTCCGATGACCTAATCGCCCTTCTTGAAGAGTTGAACTTGGATTCAACTGTTTTCGTCGGCCACTCTATGTCTGGCATGATCGGATGCATTGCTTCCATCAAAAAGCCTCACCTCTTCACAAACCTCATCCTTGTTGCATCATCTCCAAGGTATCTCTCTCTCTCTCTCTCTCTCTCTCTCTATATATATATATATATGTATATATATATATATTTCGATTTATGTTTAGCTTTTCGGGGCTGTATTTAATTACAATTAACACAGATTTTCAAAAATGGAGCAGGCACGTACCTAATCAAATATTGTAATATAGTTCATTCGAATTATTTTCCCAAAATAACAATAATATTAAATGTGAAAAAGAAACAACAAATAGAATATTAAATAAAAGGCAAGAGGAACGATACAGATAATGCTGAATGTGTCAACTGAATAGGTAAAGCATGCATTAAAGTGTAGTACCTTGTGCATAATCAAACAAACTCTTGGTCTTAATCATTAAAGTTTAAAATTGGAATTAATTAGAATAGATAGAGACCAAACACCAAAAACCTAAGTTGTATATATATGTTGTGAGTTGTGACCACTTGAATTATTATGTATTGACAAAAACAAAAAACTTTGCTAAATATGTCAAACAATTATTCATATTTTAAAATTAACGTTTTTCTATTTTCTATTTTCTATTTATTAAAATTATTTTTTTATCAATCAAAAAAATATTGTAATTCCTCTTCTTTTTTCAACCTAGAAATTTGTAGTATCATTTTGTTTAATAATAGATTATGATGGTTCTTTTTATTATAAACATGGTCGTTTCTTAGCATGTTAAATGTGAGATTTTGAACAGGGTCCTCGAAATTTTAGGACCTAAATTTACATGTGTATAGGGTCTTTTATCGAATTGTATAAATTTATAGACGAAATTATTTTGGTTCAAACCGTTAAGAGGTTGTTTGGCAATTGCTGAATGATTTGGTACAGAATGATTAAGTGGTCAGAATGATTAATAGACTCTCATGATATAGTGCAAATTGAAATATAATTGTTTGGTATTTGTATATGATGAAATTATGGCTCTTAATGGTTAAGGGAGATCCAGGATACAAAATCATTCAGAGGGTTTAGAACCATTAAGAGATAGATTTTTTTTTTGTCAAACAAGATTCACCTCTTAACGATTCAGAGACTGTCTCTTAATGGAACTATTAAGAGGTAAACAAACAACCCCTAAGTGTTTGGTTTTATGTTCAAATCATTAATGGTTTAGGTTTAGTTTCAGATTGTTAATTGTGTTAGGTTTAGCCCATTTTTGTTCTTAACATATATTATCTGTTATCTCATTTATGCAATGTAATTAAAAGTTTTGGATGTAGCAGGGTCTCCAAAAAATTAAAACGTCCCTGATTATAAACATTGAAAAGGCAAGCTAGTAATTTAAACGAATTTTATATATTTATATCTAAAACAAATCTATTTAAAAAATTAATATTTTGATATGTATTTTAAAAGTATATTTTGCAAAATATACACATCTATTTTATGTTATGTTAACAACGATACTGATTTTAATAGATGTCAAATATGTTTATATATATATATATATATATATGTATGTATGTATGTATGTATGTATGTGTGTGTGTCATTAAATAAATTATGCTTATAGAAACAAATAATTACATGTCATATATAAAAATATTACAATAAATTTAATAAAACGTTTTTAATTAGTGTCATAATATTTTTCTAGGAAACTTTTGAAGTAGAGGGTCATGTTAATTTTTTTATATTATACTAAAAGTGTCTTATAAATACATTATATGAAAATTTCCAAATAATTTCTTATAAAAACACTAATAAGACGTTTCTATCAACTTTTTGTAATATTTTTATATATGACGTACTATTTTTTGGTTTTTAAAAACGTAAGGAGGTGGGTTGAAGAGAACATAATCAAAATAAGAGAACATGAAAACGATAAAATCACATGTGATTTTACACCGAAAACGAGCGATCATGGTACGACCTAAGTCAAGGGTCAAGTTGTCCATGCACTCTTGTATTGCATGTTTTGTAATCGCATCTAATTTCAGTATAAAAACACATGTGATTTGTCCATTCTCATATTCTTTTATTTTAACCATGCTCTCGTTTGAATATTCTTCTAAACATAAGTTCTATAAAATAGTTAAATGGACTATTTAAACATATTCTAAATCCTACAAAACATACTCTTATTATAATCCATATATATATCCTTAAATAAAAATAACGATTAAATAAAAGTATATGCTTTAAGAAACAAATATCATTGTGCTCGAAAATCTACTTAATTTTGACTTTTTTTTTCCAATAAGTTTGAGGCAGTCTTAGGTTTTATATTTGTTTCCATTTCCAATTTTGTAAGTTATAAACAAATCATAACCAAGTTTATGATTAATACTTAGGGGTCGTTTACCTAAATGTTTACCCAATAAACACTTACTAATAGAAGTCAACACTATAATTTATTTTGATGCGTAAGATTTTAGTACATCAAAACATATCGAATGTAACAATTTACTGGGTAAGAGTCTCCATCATCACTTACCGGATAAGACTCTCCATCTTTCATATCGCTCTTACCCGGTGAGATTCTTAGCACTTCTCATATTCACCCGATGAGAAAATTTATGCGTTAATCACTTACCAAGTAAGTGTTTAATAAACGGCCCCTTAATCATTTGGTAAACTAATTTTGCATGTTTTGAAAAGAAAACGAATGACTGGTTTTTTATTATTTTTTAAATGTAAATGCAAATTTTAATAACAAAATAGTTGATTTTTTCTATCATGATATTTAGTTTTTGAAATTTCTGATGATGAAAAGTCAGACACAATAGTTTTAAAAAAGTAAAAAAGGCGACGACTTTATAAAGAAACGTGCATTCAGGACCACTCAAATTACAAATTTTAAGATCATTTAAATGTCGTGTTTCACTTATTTCATGTTGATGATTGTTGATCTATTTTTTTTTTTTCTGTCTGACGATTAATTCATAATAACAAAAATGATCTTTGCAGTTCTATGTATAACTCCAACTAATTAATTTGCTATTTTAGGTACGTAAATTCTGAAGGTTACGAAGGAGGATTTGATATCACATACATTGAACAATTATTCTCTAGTATAGAATCGAACTATGACGAGTGGGCATCTGGTTTTCCTTCTGTTGTTATTGACAAAAATGATCAAGAATCTGTCAAAAAGTTTGAGAAAATCTTGAAAAGAATGAAACCCGAGATTGCCCTTTCAACAGCCAAAACCGTATTTCTATCGGACCATCGTGACATCCTTGAAAAGGTTGTGATCCCATGCACCATAGTCCAAACAACAAACGATATCGTGGTTCCCATCCAAGTTGTTGAGTACATGAAGAAGATGATCAGGGGAGAATCAGTGGTCGAGATGATTAATACTGACGGACATTTTCCTCAACTAACTGCCCCTCTTAAGCTTATCGAAATATTTGATAGAGTGATGAAGATTTGAATTCGGGATAAGGGTACTTCATTAATTTTCTTCTTTTTTTTTCAGAATTTATTTTCTATTTTGGAGCATTAGCCGTTTGAAAATAGTATATTATCATATCTATGTGTGTGGTGGTTGGTCTGCGGTAGATATGTTAAGATGGCCTTGTGGTCATCGTATTGTTTCAATTGAATTTGTTGACTTTTTTAGTCAAACTATACGACTTATAGAATTTTGTCATAAATGTGTTTGTAGTGTTTGAAAACAATTTGTTTTTGATCAGTTATTTGTCCATAATTGAGTTTTCCATTTTTGATCGTTCAAACATTAAACCGTTTCTTACAAGTCAAACCAACAAATATATGTATAAAACTTATAGTATGCTGGATGAAGGTTCGGTTAAGAACTACAATTCTATTGCAAAAATGGGAAATCATCGAGAGCGCATCACACATTCTTATTCATCATGAATAATGAACGTGAATTTTTTACAACATTTATGATAAATGTCTCAAACAGCGCACTCTTGGTGGTTGATTCCCTCAACCGAACCTGCCCTTATTATGATATATATATATATATTTGTGTTCATATGGTTCTTACATTAACAAAAATAAATTAACAAAAATCATAATTTTTTTTGATTTTGTAACTCCCAAATAATGATATGGGAGTTACATATTTTTTTTACCTAAATACCTTTTTCAACTTTGTTCACTTATCTTTATTAAATTTTAAATTAAAAAAAAATTGTATCATGATTAATCACAACCGTTTTTTGAAAGATTGAATGGCTAAGATCGGTTAACAAAGTTAACACAAAAACTTTGGTTAACATTTGAACCTGGTCATATATATATATATATAAAGCTTACATTTATTCTATTTGTATAAGTTAGATTTACTGGAATTTTTTTATTGACACCAGTAATAACAATTATAAAAACTACAGCTTAAAGTTTCGAACACATGATTTTTGAGCTTTAAAATAGAATGTATTAATCAAAATGCTTAAATCGTACAAACCATCTATCAAACATGAGATATATACCGTTAGGGTCAAATTCCACAAAACCAAATTTCCATTTATTTAAAGTCAACAATTTATTAAAGAGAAGACTAAGCGTATCAGGAAATAAAACAGATAAAACACGATCTTTTCGAGTAACTGTGTTGGCCCCGTTAGGATCTACAAGATGTGTATAACATTTCGTAGAGGGGCGAGGGATGAATACAAATACAGTAACATTTTCAAATGTAAAATATATATTGATAAAGAAAGATCAATACAGATTTTACAAGATTATTTGCGGAAAGATAAGATAAAAATAACCTACCTAAACAATCTAAGTTACACACTAGTTCTTAGCAAAGAGAAAGATTTGTTGTAAGAAACATAGAAGGAAGTTAATTCTTTCTGTGTAAGAACTATTTAGAATATAAAAAGGGATTCTAACTTGATTTTGAAGATAAGCGTATTGTATTCTTAGATGTGTGTTCTTTTACTTATGAACATAAGTTAGGGTTCAAGAGTAAGTATTAGAGTATCTTTGCATGGCGATAGAACACATCTATTTATACTCATTGCATTAAATGCACATTTAATGCAACATAGTAGGGTTTGAACACATGTCAAGCCTTTAGAGAAAGACTTGTCATTTGCTACAGTGAATAGTACAAAAACTTATTCATGAACACACATCCTTTCATTAAGTTGGTGGGTAGTAGAGTCAACTAATCGGCTCCGTACCGTACTATACTTTAAAGAGGGTATGAGTTTGTCCTTTGTGTGTATAAAAATAAGACAAAAGCAATCGTGCTCAACAAACTTCTTTTGATCGCTGAATGCTAGAATAACATGAAGTTCTCTTTAGCATTCGCTGAGGCTTGGTCAGTTTTTACACATGTGTAGACTAGATTGTAATCACTGAATACCGCTTCAAATCACGTACTCGCCAATCTCTAATCTTCAGTTTTAGTCTTCAACTTTCGCTGAAGGTTCTTTGGTGTGAGTTTTGTCTTCTTGAAGTATCGCTACATTACATGTTCTCAGCGATCATTGAACAAACTCAGTGATGATCGTTGGAACTGAAAGTCAGAACATAAATACTTCGTATAAGGTAAAAAAAATTATCATCAAATCACTGAGAGAGAGTATCAACAAACTGCAAGAAAAGGATTAGGAATTTATAAACTAGACATGCGGAATGAAAAAGAACACGAACCATCCAAAAACCAAAATCCATTAAAGTAAACAATATGTAATATGATTATTATAAATAAAAAACGTAATAAGTATAAAAGAATATGAAGTTGTAATTTTAATTTGAAAGTGCATTAAATTATTATATTGCATTGTCAAAGGTGTTTATTTTACCGCATAACCTACTTGCTCCTTATTAAACCGTACATTTTTGCAGTACAATTTATGGTTGATAATTTTTGTACCACGTTATGAGTCATTGATCAAACAATGGTTCAAAACAATCGCAATCAAGACCGTTGATCAATTAAATGAACAGATGAAAGAGGTGGATGACAATTTGGTAATTAGAGAGAAACTGAGACGTGTGAAACGGGTTGGAAAAGGGATGAACCTTTAGTGAACAAGGTTAAAAAAACAAAAACACACTCTAAATTAGGGTTCATGTGACCTGTTGAAGATTGTTACTAATGAACTAGGGTTTTGTTTTTCAATAATGTGAAAATTAAGTGAATGAATCGCCAAGAAAATTGGTAATATGCATCTAAATATCGTTCATTGATGACCATAAGGGAACTTGGTTATACCATTTAACTCGCATAGATCCGAGACACAATTTTTCCATCTGCTTCTATCACATATATATATATATATATATATATATATATATATATCAATTACGAACGAGATTTCTCAATCTCAGAAAAGCTCATTTCCTTTCTGCTCCAGCTATCTATGCAACTTGTTCTCATTTTCTGTTTTGCAAAAGATTTCCCTTTCTGTTTCTTTGTTCAGACAGTAGCATTCATAGCATCCACCATGGTTTGTTACCATATTTCTTCCTGCAGCTCCTTCCTTTATAGACGATACAAGCAACTACTCCATAGAGAAAACATACATACGAATCATTAAAACAATCAATTAACAAAAATACTAATTCAAAAAACGATATCCATAATTATCTTACTTTAAAACAAGGAAAGATAGTGTAACCGTACGTCATATATCCTTCTTTAATGTATCTAGCAGCACTTTGAACCAAACATTCTCATTGGCCAATACAAGTCAACAAATTAACACTATTTTTTGGGTTAACAAATGATCCCCCCCCCC